AATCTCGTAGCTGATTTATACATGAGACTCTGCACAGAATTCAACAAATGGGAGTGGGAATTCAAAAAAGAGATGTACACCTTTGTAACAAACGCAGAAAGAAGAATTTCCAATTTTGGTAAAGTTGCTATAAAATCTGAATCTTCTGACATCAATGAATTTCTCAAACGTTTGAAAATTGAAGCCTCCACACTGCTGTCCACATGGGAGACAAGACTTCTAGAAAATCTGAGACAATATTTTAAGAAAACAGACGGTCATGTTCATCTTGTTGAAGGATATAAAGAGGAATTCTCAAGCAATGCAAAGAGCCTTCGGCGTGAAATGGAAAGGAGTGTTTTTAATCAGCTCACAGCAGCAGCAGAAATCACACAGGAAATGATAGAAATTGATCGAATCAAAGAGAGTCACATAAAAGAGATTGAAAATGCAGTTTGGGGACTGATTAATGAGTGTTGGAAAAATAATGTTCCGATGGGGGAGACAGAACTTGAAAATAAGTTTCTCAAGATGTGGTGTGAAACACTGAAGAAACTTCCTTGTTCTGAAAAGCAAGCTGAGCAAATCTTTACCAATGCATCATCTTATCTGAGAGAAAGCCTGAAACGTAAAGGGGAAGCTTCACTTGAACTCTTAGAAAAAAGGCTGGAAGATTGTGGTTTGGTACCTTTCAGATATACAGCTGAAAGATACTCAAATAGATGTGAGGAAGTAGGTATGTTTTTTGACATTCAAGATTACATAATGGCTGCACAAAAACTGGCTGACAGCATCATAGATGTTTGCACTCAGTTTGTGAGAGAAAAAGTGAGAAGGAAAAAAATGTACTGTGACACATACATCAAGGAGATCCTACACATCACTGATGAGAACCTTGAGAAAAACCAAGAGGTCAAGGGAGACATTATGTTTGAAGTTTTTCTAAAACAGCACGTCTGTGGAATTGCAGCCATAGAGTTTAAGAAAGTGTATGAAGAAAATGATCCCTACAGATGTTTGATTAAGAACAAGGACAGGTTTTGTGATGATTTCAAACATGTGGTTAATAAAGAAGACCAATGTCAGAAGAAAGCAGAAGAATTCACCAACCAGTGCTTGAAGCCTGCTGTTGAAGACTTTATCAATCAGTCCCTGGGTCCTAAAATCATTGATGAAATGCTGACACGTGAGCAGTTCAGCACACGAATGTCCTTCCAGTGTTCAATTTTACTGGATCTGCTTTCGAAGGAGGATTTTAAAAACTACCAGAGATATATTTTCTCATATCAGGATTATGTTAAGACATGGCTACTCAACCAAATACTGGAGCACTTCTCAACTGTGTCAACAATATCTGCGTTTGAGGACCAACAACTCCAGTCATGTATCAAAAGCATAAAAGATGCCATCAACAAGACAAACACAGGAAAGAGTGATAATGTGAAGATATTTGTTGAAGATATTTGTAAAGAACTTGGTGATAAACTGGTAATTTCCAAAGATGCTCTTGGTGCTTTCATGTTTTTGAACAATGCTGACAAGAAACAGTTTGCTGACTGGCTCACAGTGTCTGTGAATGAGATGGAACAAGTTCTGAGAAAAGAGTTTCAGACACTGAACGTTGAAGTGAAACTACAGCAGCTCCATGTGCAGCCTGAGAATGAGCTTTTCAACAAACTGGTTGGTTGTGGCAAACAGTGTCCATTCTGCAAAGTTGTCTGTGATG